GAGGGTGGTGGTCTCAGTCGGGCCGAGAGCAGCGAGCTGCAGTCTGGCTGAGAGCGGTGAGCTGCAGTCCTCCTCTGGATCCCACGAGTGGTGGAAAGGTTCCAAAACTCCAGGTTTATATATTCTCCAGCTCAGGTCAGAATGCTCAGTCCTTCCCTCAGAGTGGGGAATTCCATAAAAGGGTATGAGGGTGCTCAGTCCTTCCCTCAGAGCAGGGAATTCTACAAAAGGGCATGAGGACAGGAACATCCCCCCACCTTGCAGACCTCTACTGACAACAGTTTCTGGGAAATGGCATGGAAGGCTATAGGATACACAGTTTTGGGCTACACCCATCCAGTAATGAATCGGTCCCAGTTGTTCTAACTAGGACAGATGTTATCCCATTCACTATTATCCTCTGTGCCCAACCTGTGGACTAATTGCTCACACACTGCGTGATGTGTTTATCTAGCTGTGTGCTGGAAATTTTGTCCAGACGGATCCTGTGAGAGACAGTATGGAAAGCTTTACTGAAATCCAAAAAGATTACATCGCCTGGCTTCCCTTGATCAGCTAGGTGTGTTACCTTGTCATAAAAGGAAATCAGATTGGATAACCCGGACTTTCTCCTCATGAAACCGTGCTGTTTGTGACCAATAATTTTACTGGGCACTGAAGTGAGACTGACAGGTCTGTAGTTTCTGGGGTCCTCCTTCTTGCCCTTCTTGAAAATCTTGACAATGTTCTCTAACTTCCAGTCAGCTGGTACCTCTCTGGATTCCCAAGACTGATCAAAAATCAAGAGTGGTTTCAGCTAGCTCTTTGAGGATCCTGGGATGAATCCCATCAGGCCCTATAGATTTTTAGGGATCCAGTTGGAACAGTAGATCCTGCACAAATTCATGGTTGACTGGGTGTTGATCATTCTTGCAGTCATGGTCCTCCAGCTCAGGGCACTGAGACCCCCTTGGTCTGTCATCCATGTTGAAGTCAGAGGCAAAGAAAGCATCAAACATCTCTGGTTTGTCTCTGTCCGTGTTTGTGAGGTGACCATCCTCATCCTGTAATGGACCAATGATATTTCTTTAATGCCTATTTCCCTTAATATATTTGAAAAAGCTCTTCAGATTGTGCCCCCCATTTCTGGTCAGTTTCAACTCCAGTTAAGCTTTGGTTGCACAAATTTTCTTCCTACAGTGGCATGCAGCATCTCTGAATTCTTCCCATGTCACCTGACCTTACTTCCACTGGGCATACACCTTCCTTTTTTTCCTTATGTCCAAGAGAAGATTCCTGTTCAGCCAAGCTGTCCTTCTGCCTCGCCTGCTTGACTTCGGACATTTGGGAATTGCCTGCTCCTGTGCCCTTAGGAGGTGATGTTTGAAAAGTGACCAGCACTGATGGACCCCAGCACCTGCAAAAACATTTTCCCAAGGGACCTTACTGACTAGTTCCCTGAGTAGCCTGAAGTCTGCTCTCCTCATGTCCAGAGTTGAGGTTTTGCTGGCACTTTTTGTCCTACCAACAGAGATTTTATA